GGGGGCTCATAAATCTTGCTTTTCCTTGTCATCGCTAATTCGGGGCCCGCGACGCCTCCAACGTTCCCGATCTGCCCCCTCCCCCTTTGGCATTCCGTTCGTCCGTTTTACGGTTATCGATAGGCGACAGGCGAAAAAGTTTTAATGAAACAGCCGGGCATAAAATTCCAACGCCTTTCGACGACGTCCGCTTTTATGACGGCGACGGGTTAAACGCCAGGAATTATATCGTTCCCTGAGGCGTTGGAACGCGTGAGGGCAGTTGGAATTAATTATTCACGGGAATACACAGCGTTCCTTTTTTTGATGGGTCGTGCGTGAAACGAGAGGTTTGTTGCTAATGATGGACTCGAGATATATGGGGGCTATTGCTTGGAGATTAAACGCAGTGAATCTGAGAGGTTTACTGTACGAAATATTTACGCCGGTGGTAATTTGTCCTCGTATCGAAAGCAGAGGTGGGCAAATTTGTTATTCTAAGTAAAGAGTTTCAGGTAACGAAAAGAAGATAAGGAAGGTATTTTACCATTTTTAATCGATTAACCTTCGTACCATGAATGCAGGGGCACTTTGACCCATATGTAGCAGTTGTGGTATCCTTTTTAATTATACGTAAATGCAATATATAAAATTGAAGATAGACATAAAATTTTACGCACAATTCCTTCTTGAAATCCATCAATACAATAGAAATTCCGTTATGGGTCAAACTGACCCTGCATTTTTCTGCCCTTTTTACCAAAGCAGTGTGATAAAAATGATGAAACAATCTATGCGATGATATATCGGTCTCGAATCCTTCGAACGCTGGTCAAATTCGCGTCAGCCGAGGAGTTTCATCGCGAAATTATTGTCGAGGTTACGGTCAAGCGCCGAGAGGAAATTAGCTCCAGGTACAGCGACGACCGAGATTCACAGACGTGAACGGTATACAAATAGAATCGAGAATGGGTACGATGGACAGAGTGAGACAGAGAAAGAACGTTCGAGGATTTTTCAATTTAATTTCCATCGCTAAACGATGCACGCCACTGGAAAAAATCGATCAGTGTCGTATGCGCGGGTATTATCAAACGAAAATCTGCTCGGTGCCCGGTCGTTGCTGAGGCTTCCACTTTTCCCGGGGAAAAAGGGACGTAATGGAGTTTCGGCGTCCCGCCGCCATTGTTTTCCCAGCTTTATAAGCCGACAGGAGTGAGCGCCGGCGAACGATTCGGCCTGGGAAAACGATTTTTCCGAAGTGGCGGGAATGAGACGAGGACCGTGGCTGAAACCTTTGAAATTCGACTATTTTCCGGATTTAACACTCGTGTGTGCCTGTGACCGAGTCACCGGTGACCCGTCGACGAACAAAACGTTTCGTTTGTCGAAGTGAACTAATTTTACAAAAATAAAACGTATAGAATATACAAAAATTGAGCACCAATTTAGAGTGCTTAAATAAAATAATAATAGTTTTAGTGTTTTGTTACTAAGATTAGAAAAAATTCAGGAGAACCGGAGATAGTCGTTTTGGGCTAATGTGTCTTTCACACGTTCGAGATTGATGATGAATGAAACTTTTCTCGATTTGGTATGGTCCCCCTTCTTGGTCACGTGTGGCGTCAACTGACCTGATTCGTTTATCATGAATATTTGCGATTAATTTGTGTTGGTGGTTATTGCCACGGGGCGCAGGTCCCTTTGACTGGAATTTTGTAAGAGATCTACCGAACTGTTAACGAACCTCAATCGGTGCTATCTGTAGGGTGAAAATTCAGTTCTCTGGTAGTCACGTTTAATTAACGGAGAACAGGTGTAGGTCTCTTAGCTTGCTCGAGCACAAGTATTGATATATTGTAGCATAATAAAATATATGACTCCTTCTAACACACCTTGAGGGAACAAAAAAATGAACAAGTTGCAACAATCGAGGACATGAAATGTGACAATTTATAAACTAATACTAAAGATTTAGTATAGTTGTTGAATACACACCACTGGGTTCCTGAAAATTGATTGTTTCAATGAAGCTGTCTCGTGACATACCTCGTTTCTCCCCTCTTGAATGCCAAATTAAAACGAAAAATATGAATCGTATGACATTAATTGCCATGAATAGCAGTAGAAGCTACACGTCTGAGGAATAGAACCGAGGCGATGCGCGTATCGTTGGACCCGTCACTCCGCCCGAAATTGTTATAATTTAACCGGCGAACCAGTCACGAAGGATCGTCGACGGTTTCGGTTAAACCGTACTCCGTGTATTTATAGTTCGGGTAATTCAGCTCTGTATCCGTTCCTCTCGACGTTTCTCAGTGACGAACGAGACCGTCAGGTGTACAGCTATTTGATTACCATCCCGTGATTGATTGCCTCGCCTAGATAAACGCGGCAGCGCGTTGACTTAATGTCGAATATTATTTAAATAAATTATTATATCACGTCTCTCGCGGTACCTGAATTCTTCTCCCCCTCACCAACCACAGATGAGATTCCTTTTTCGTAAACCCCACATCCGATCGATCGATTCTTCGACCCTTTCAACGATGCGCCCAGTTCTTACGATTTTTGATTCCGTCTGGAAAATGTCGAGACGTGTGACTGGTATTCTGAGGATCAGAAGTGTAGAGTAGCACCTCTTGCATTCGATCTGACAAGGAGGCACAAGGGTTCAAGGGTAAAATAAGTATATGTAGTCTAATATTTACAAAAATATTTATTTGGTAATTTTTTAATAGTTTTAGATTGAAAGGGTTATATATTTACGGACCTCATACACTTGTTGCGTGTTGATTACACACGAAATCGTTCTGATCAGAATTAGTTTCGATCGAACAGAGGAAAGTACCCAATGAAAGGTGGTGTAAGTCAAAAATAGAAAAAAAAAAACGTTTTTTCTGCGAAATGTTTCTGCGAAATATTCAATTGATTTATACCCAAAAAATTTCTCTAACGAAATTGTTGGAATCCACCGATAATATGCGCTCTACGACGGAACTCTACAAGCATGAATACAGCCGTTCCCTTAGCCGGGATTTTTATTGCATCCACTTGAAGAAGGGACTCAGGGTTGCTACGAACCAACGCAGTTAGTCGAGTCCGGACAGAGCCGCCGTCAAGACCTAATAGACACTTTTTTTGCTTCTTCAAAATTACAGACAGTTTTTAACACTTCATACTAGATTACGTGTATTATCATTATTAATAAAGTATATTTTAAACACCTTATTCCAACAGAAATGAATTCGTCGAAAGAAGAATTCATGTACATTTTATTATACTCGTGAAAATCATCTGTAATTTGTCTTCTAATTTCTCAGCTTCCACGAACCTGGATAAACTCTATTCTGTTTTTTCTTACCTTTATTATTATCCCAGTCGAGTGCATAAACCTGAGAATTTCGAAGATTTCACGTTTCTCCCGTGCAATATTCTCGAATTTCCGAAATTCCCACGCACCAGAAGAATCACGCGTGCGTCCGGTTTCCACGTGAACCGAGCGGTGTCGTTGATATTTTTTTTTTTGTCCCCACGACAGGGTGTCGAGCTCAATTTCACACTTGTTTTTGCCGAAATATTTACGGTTTTATCAGATTTCACAAGCGGCAGTTCCTTCGACCAAATATTTTCCTGTTTGGTCGCGGGAGTGGCGCGAAAGAGGGAGGGAAAAATCGCTCGGGCAAATATTCGAGCGATCTCTCGTTTTTTACACGTTGACCGGAACACGGGTTCCTGTTGACTCCGCAATTTGGTAACCGAAATTGTTTACACGCGATCGATTTTGCCAAATCCTCGGGGCTCCTCTTTCCATCCTTTTCCCCCGCGACCGGAGCTGTCCAGAAAAATTGATCACGTTCGAATTCTGTCGGTGAGGCGACCATATTTTTTGTTTTGCTTTTGTCACCTTTATATATTTTTCAGATTTTTCATTGCAACGAAGTTGCCCACGGGAAATTCGCGCGAAAGATGGTACAGGTTGGCTTTTTAGGGGAAATTCGTATGTCCACCTTGTTGGGATATGTGTTATCTTTGTTTTTGAGCAATATACATTACAGAACTGTAATTCAGATTGTAAAGAACAACAGATTTTCAGTTATACTTTATGTACTCTGCAATTATTATCCCATATTTACACAGATACACTTGTCTTCCATAAACATAACGTACAGACATAGACTCAATTAGGCTTCAATGATTAACTAGACTAAACTTTTAATCCTTCAAAATCTACGAGCACATACGATCACATCCTTGGATCGAAATGGCCTTCAGGAATCATCTGAAGGTCAAATCTAGATAAAAAAATAAAAAAAATAATATTAACTGGGATTTCCATTTAAGAGTATAAAATTGACCACAAAATGACCTATAAATTTGACCACTATGTCATGATCAAAATGACCGTCAGATGTCCCCTTTTAAACCCCAAAACATTTCTGCCAAACATTTTTCTAAAACTTCGTCCTTCCGAGTTAATATGGGGTACTCATAATTTCGTTACACTCTGTATACAAAAAGCAAACAAAAAGAGGGAGGCAAAATAGACACAAATAGGTACAAAAATGTAACAAGCGATGTAAAGGTGAAATCGTAGCCGCAATCAACTACGGCAATATTTATACAATTCCACGTATCAAACTATCAAAGAGAATTCCAATTACACGTTGTATAGACAGTCAATAACCACCACTCGTTGCAAGCAATCAGTATAATCCACCCCCAAAAAAACGTATTCCCGACCGAACACAGTACAACACCTCGAGAGCTCGTATCGTCGTCCAGCATTTTACACTCGCCATCCAAACATCCCAGCACACCGTGGTCCCGATACCCAAAACATAATTCCTTCTCCCCCGAGTTTTCCGGATCGGCAGAGGTCGTAAAAGTTCAGATACAGAGCGAAAGCAAGCGAGATAGAGACAGATGTCCGGATCAGAAAGGATTCGCTTTGCCCGTCGAGTAGACATCCTCGATTAATTCTGGTCCCCGTTGCCATTTTTTTTTTTTTTTGCTTTCAGTCGTTGAGAAACCTTAGGAGGAGAGAGAGAAAGTGGTCGGGGCGAGGTGTCGGGGAGAGAGAAAGAGGCGAGAGAGTTTCGAGTGGCGAGGGTTCCAAGCGTGTTCGGAGGGGGTTGGCAGGCGGAGGAGAGTGTAGACGTCGTCGCAAGAATGGGGGAGAATCCTCGTGAGCAGCAACAACAACAGCAGCAGCCGCTACTTCGTTCGATCAACAACGATCACAGGTCCTTCGTAAAGTTCATCAACAAAACGGTGCACAGCATCGTATTGTACTGGATCGATTACCAGGGCCAGGCGGTCAGCTACGGGGTGTTACCGCCTGGCGATTGCCTGGATATCGACACGTTCGTCACCCATCCGTGGATCTTCGTTGACAAGGAGACGAATGACAGGTAGGAGCCATTCGATTCCTTTTTCTTCATTTTCTTATTTTAATTCCGCCGGGGTTGGATCGAGCCAGCGAGAGTCGTTTGCTCCCCATCACTGTCCTCCTGTTGCTAGAATCGTTGCTGTATTCGTTAAAATCTCAATTCGTAATATCTGTAGGAAAAAGTTGTTCAGAACGATGATCTTGACAACATATTTAAAGGTCATTGAAATCGGTGAAGTGAAACTTCTGATTAATCACCCGACTTTTTTTATTGAAATAGTTGAAGTTAATGCAAAAACATAATGCGAATAGACTTAGCAACTCGAAGCAAGAAAAGATCTTACCTCTTTCTCCATTCGACACGATCCAGATAGGGGTATTTCCCACCAAAAAATGTCTCGGCTAGTTGACGCGTGCTCAGATGGTAGGCTGGATGGGGACACGTTTTCAGGTACACGGTGAATCAGAAGGACGTCTTCTTCCCGGAGCCGTGGTTCGCCAGGTATCGGGGCCTCAGGCGGAGCCAACTGCCCCAAAGGTGCGAACGAACCCACGTGCACATCACGCTGCCGGTGTACACGTTGCGTGAGCTTGCTCTGAGGGCGATCAAACGTCGTCTGTCCAACGATCGACAGGCGTTTCAGCTGGAAATACCGAGGAGCTTGCAGTACGAGCTGGCGACGATGCTGCCCAGGAACAACGATCCGAACTCGTAGCGATCGATCCACGACTGGTCTCCTCGGAGATGTATCATCGATCACTTCTAACGCGCATACCCTAATTAAAGAGGTTAGGTGCCATACGAATGGAAATTTGTTCGAGTAACGTCTCGAATAAGCTTGTATTCACGACAATCCTTTGGGTAACGCATTATTTTTTATCGGTGAAATAAATTTAGTCGAATAAGCAGCGGTGTAACTGAACTGACCATGCCACGAGGGATCTAGATAGGTAGCCTAAACTGGTATCAGTGGTTATGGTTTTGATACTGGGATTTTCAATCGGCGTTCACAGGTGTGTGGTCCCTTTGACACCTGTGTGTTACGTTCTCGTGATAGAATTTTCGAACTTTAATTGTTAATAGCAAAATGCTCTCGGGAGATGTGTATTGGAGAAACGTTCTTCGTCGATCGCTAGGACTATGGACTGTGCCAGGATACTCTGTATAAATTTTTCTGTCTATTTAATGTTACACGGACCTCGTGATCGACGTTTCCTTCTGTTATTATCTTCGTCCAACGACACTGGTGTACAAGGTAAATCGTTCAAGGTGTGCTTTTTCGGCAATGATGCATACGTTGGTTAAAGATTTTTAACGGAATTTTTGAGATTTTGCGTCGCGATTCGGCCGAGTTTCAGCCACGAATGAGCTATATCATGCACTGATGAATTAATCGATGTTTCTTGATCGGAGAGGAACCGGTGATAATTTTTTACGTGCTGTATTTTCGTATGAAACTTTACATATACACAGGGACAGATGCACACACGTACACTCGTTGGTACGGAATTGTTGGAACCGTTACTTTAAGAGTCTCCGTTTTGTGATAAGGCGCACAGAGATAATCTCTTACTGACTGTAAGTTAGTCGAATTGTAAGTTAATTTTACCCCTGTTCGAGAATGCTTCTGAGACTATTAAAGATAAAGCTGAAGATTCTGTAGTGTGAGCAGTATTTCACCTGAATGGAGAATCCTTTCCACCCAATCTCCATCGATCGAACCTTAACACTTGCAAGTGAAGTGATATACACTGATTTTTCCGTAACTTTGCTCGGTTGTTTATGGGACCAAGCTAACAATTTTACTGTACTTGGTTGGTGTTACTTTTAAATTTCAAGAACTTACTTTTTTCAGAAGTAGGTCTGTAAACTTATACTACAGTAAATCGTCGATAAGTGTTCGGAGGCTTCGAACCCTAAATATTTCATAAACTAATGATTATATTCGGCTGAAACAAATATTATTGGCTTCAGAATTCCAAGCTCTATCACTGTGCTAAACCTCATTAAAAAGTCAGTGTTACACCCGGCGACCTCGCGTTCCCAGTACCGAGAATCCTTCGAGTACTCATCGATGATTTACTGTATCGTGCCTCCACTGAGCCCTTCAATTCTCGCAACGAGTTCGACTGATCATTATCCAACGAGATGGTTAATCTTTGTCCGTCATTCGATTACAATTTCACCCATCACTCTGCCACGAACCACAGTGAAGTAAAAACCATCCCTAACATACTTCCTCGTCCTCCGTCTCCTCCAATTAGTTCCGTGGTCGATCGTTCGAACCAGTCAGGCTAGGGGATCGATACCAAACCGCCTTCAGCGATTTCTCGAACCGGGGTTCGCCAGGCGGCTACAGGACCAGAACAAAAAGCCCTTCGGAACAGAAATAACACAACGGTTCCCAACAGGGGCGGAGGGGGATGCCTCGTCTTGATCGGGAAACTTGGAAGTTTCTCGCGGAGTTTTTTTTTCCCGATCGTGGGGAAGGCGGATATTCGCCCGGGAGGATCGGCCATGGAAGAAATTTCGACGGTGAAATCGCTGCGGCTGCTCGGTAATCCGGCCTCGTTTCCGCAATTCGTAAGTAGAGTTCCCAAGTTATTAAAGCGATCCTCCTCTTTCTCCCTTCCACCCACCAGCGCCGCCGCGTTCTCCCGTAACGAACAACGCGAGCCTCGGCTATCCTGGAAACTTTCCTTCCCCCACCATCCTAGTGAAGTGCATACGTGCGTTGATTAACCATTAGCCCGAGTTAAATACACTACGCCTCGCGAAACGGAACGATAAAACGTCCCCGAGTCGTGGACGTTTGAGACCTCGCTCGGATTTCGCTCGAATAAACTTCCAATGAGTTGAAATATGTTTCCTTTTTTTTTTGTGTTTCTTTTTCACGGAGACTGGAAGTATGTAACGACTTTAGGTTAGGTTTGTCAGGAACGAACATTTTGGTTTGAATGTATGCTGTGAGTATATAATAGCTTTTTTTAGTTTTGTATTGATGGTATGACACAGATTTGAATGTGTGTTTGAAAGTTTATACAAAAAATAAGACTGTGTTTCTTTCGTTTGATGGAACTCACGGGTTGAGCACTATTACAGATACAGTGTTCTGTCGATTATTGTCAAGAACTCGAGTCGCGACTAGCATCGAACTGGAGGTCGGCTACAGACCTTCGTAAATTTGTTTTTTTTTGCCCGAAGTCAGAGCCTTGGCAGCGAAGTATACGCTTGACAGGTTCCAGGGCCTCCTCCCCGCCAGTAGTGGGCATGACGCCTTGATAAAAATCGTGTAGAACCAGGCAGACAGTGATCGACGCAATACTGTATAATAGAAACTTACAAAACTCTAGTTTCTTTCGAATATTTCAAGATGGTTTATTGATCAAAGGTAAGAAAGGTTTGATTTTATTATGTATTATAACATTGTAATTATTATATGTAACCGTGATGAAAGTAAGTTACCAAAAGGCAACGAATGCAAAACGACATTAAACGGTTTCAGATTGTTCAAATATTCATGTGAATCATTCATATTTCTTGTACACAAACAATCAATTATTTCTTTGAAAATATTTACATAATTTGGTTATGAAAGGGTTAAGGGGCTATTATAGTGTAACGGCTATGTAATAAGGCAATCTTTGGGAATTTTTTTCAGATTGCAAAAAAGAAAAATCCGATTTTCTGAAACCGTCACACTAGCATAGCCCGTTAATTGAAACGATGTTCAAAATGGTGTCCATCACCTGCAATACACTTGCGTAACTAGTGAAGAAACGACTACATAGTTCTGTTTCCGACGTCTGCACGGATGGTCAAGCAACCAAACAAATTTTCGATCGCACAGCCAGCAGCAGAATAATCTAGGCTGATCACGTTTCGTGGTCCACCCTGTATATGTGTCAGCTGGATATAAGGGAATTGCGGTACACCATTTCGTCCCAGTTACAGCGCTCGACCGTTTCCCCTCTTCCCGCAATTACACTTCCGATTTCCCAATATTCGCTCGGTCGATGAGCCCGATAAAAGCGCGATCCGGTGAAATTATTTCCCTCGAGTGAATCGCCGATCCCCGTCGGCGTTGAAATGCCTGGCGTCCGAATCACGCGACGCTGACGCCGATCGGGGCGTCCCGGCTCGGTAATTCATTAGACGCGCGCCAATACGCAGGTATAACGAGCGGCCGCAATCTTGAACTCGAATGTTTTTTTTTTTTTAACACCCCCTTGCCTAGAATGCTAAAATAAACGGGTGGGTACATCCGTACGTAATGACAGTAAAAATTCTCTGAGAGTTGGACAAGATATTCCTCGTGAGAGTTTCTACTTTATCCTCCTCACCACTGGGGAGTGTTGATAATTTATCAACCCTCCTCTCCCATTGGGGGATAAACAATAGATTTGTGAGATATTGAAACGATTCATGGGACATCGTGAAAGTTTTGAACCGAAACCGAGTTTAAAATTCTCAACGAATTTATAATGTATTCCGGGATAAGTGCACAGTGCCCCGCTAATTACGAACGTTTAAACCTTTAACTACGGTTGTGTAGTTAATATGGTAGGAAAACAAAAATTTTCTGATACACTACGGATGCCAATAAGCGATTTCAACATGAGAACCACCTGACCTGATAAAATGACGGAATTCAGTTCTTGCGTGCGTATTCAGATCGGCGTTTAATTTATTATACATGGTTAACTATATTAAATTAACTTGTAAGTAATATACATAATACATAATACAATCTCACGCAATACAGTCTCACATAAAATGTATCTTAAATCAGAAGTCGACGATAAATTCCACAAGAAATACTATTATAACTTCAGTAACTATAAAATGAGTAACCTGAAATACGTCATTTTGACGGGTTTGGTAGTTCCAGTGTTAACGTACGCTAGATCGCTTATGAACGAATCTTTTGTTTTCCGCCACCAGGCAGAAGAATTAATTTATTGATAAAAGTGGCCCCGCGCGAAATGAACGGTGAAAGTATCAAAATTGCACAAGCAAATGGAATTTCGCAACGACTGCACTTTTGTGCCCAGCGATTTCTCCTTTGTCGAGGATGGCTCCGTGGCGAGATCGACATCGATCCGTCGACCCCGATCCCGGGGATTTTCCTGGTTTATTGCCCTCTCCTCTCCTCCTAGCCGCGGCATCCTCGTCACGACAGAGACACCGAGTCACGAACCGCGTGTTTTCGTTCGGTTGGCGTACCGAGAAACGAATAAACGTTGAATACCACCAGCGATTGTGCAATTTATGCCGCGAATCGAATCCTTCCGTGGAACTTCTTATCGATCCTTTTCGTTCCAAGAGTACGATAGAAACATGGTTGTGACATAAACGACAATCGGCAGAACACGAGATTTATAGACAGATATTTCATTCAGAAAGTCATTAGTAGCTATTTATTATGTTTGGAAAATCGATTCGAGAGTGGACACACCTCGATGGCAGTAAAATATAAATGGACAAAAGAATTTTGTCGATTTTCATTTTTTTTTACGTAAATATACTCTAAATAATATTAATTAACCGAACTTTCTTATTTAGAGTCTATTTATGTAGGAAAGTGAAAATCGAGAAAATTGCAGGTGTCCGTTTGTATCACAACACTTTGATCTCCATGTTACCTAAATATAGGTGAGACCTGCAATGGAAACAGGCTGGATTATTTAAAAAAGTAAAATTAATATGTAGTGTAATTCATAACAAGACCAACAGGTTGTATTAATTAAACACATATATTGTCGAGGATTTATGACCTGAAAAATTGAAATAAAATGTGTCTGGTTACATACAGCCTTTTTCACTGTGACAGTCAACGTGTTAATAGACGTGGAAAATTGATTGAACGTCACCGTCGACGGTCGTTTGCCAGACATTAGAGCGCTTAATCGAATTACCAAAACCAGGACGGACGTTACCATCTTGGGTACGAACCTGGAAAAGGTTGCGTTATCGAACGCTTCTAATTTCGTCTCCGTTACCTGTTTTATTCTTCTCCGTTTGATAAGTTGAGTAGCCACAGACGAATCCTTTTCAGTTTCTTCGAAAATAAAAAACTTGTCCCTACTTCTAATTATGTCCCGATTTCTGTTCGGTACGTAAATTTTTTATTTAATGTAATAAGTTTA